GCCTTTTTCGATTTGTCGATTTATGATCTCATTTCTTTCTGCTGCAAAAATTTAATACACGAACTAATGGAATAGTACCACATGTATCTTTATATACTTTCTTGCTTTGATCAGCTGCACTTCATGGCGTCGTTCTACAGCTACGAATCTGACAACTTTTCCAGTTATTTTGACCAATGTTGCATAGTCTGGTCGTCAGTCTGCTAGGGATCCTGGCGTTCATTTCGTCTTCTAAAGAAATCACCCGTTTAACTAATTTCCTGGTGGAAAAACTTTAATAAGGCTTTAGCCGTTTTAAAATATCTTTAGCGTGGTTTAAGCATCACTCATTTCGTCTCGAACTTTGATACTCTTAGACTACGATGAGAAGATACCTTACGAGCAAGGAGATTTGCATTTATTTCTATATATAGAACGTGTGCGATTGCACTTGGAAGCAAACTTTGAGAAATGGAATGAACAAAGTCTGATTTTTTTCCCTTGAAATGACGTTCGCATGACAAGCTTGAAGCATTGCTACTATGTGCAGTTTTCCATCCTTTTTTTTTTCAGTCATTTTATTCAAAATTGGAACACATTCGTTCTGTAATGTTAATTGGCACTCTCAATTGAATTTGATGACTTTTCATTGACCAAAATAGCTTCTTTTTGTATCCAAGTCCCATTCCTTGAGTATTTTTACTGCTTGCTCCCATCTGTTGGAATTCTGGTTCGTAAGTCGTAATCCAGATATTTTTCATCTAGGTTTGAAGAAGCGCACGTTGAATTGGCCAATTTGCTGCAGTTACCAGACTTCCCGGCTACTGTCCCGGTCGTATTGTTAGCCAATAAGCAGGATTTACCAGAGGCATGTCGAATTGTTGAGATAAAACAATTTTTGACATCAGAAGTGATCAGGAAAAGATTAAGCACAACGGTCTCATGCTGTGCTGTAACTGGTGATGGTCTGGATGGCCTTTTTGCCGAAATTCATCAACTCATCGTTCAGTCCAGGTTTGGCTTTCCAAGTGATTTTTATTAATCTGCTTTGACAAAAGTAGTATTTTTTTAGAAATCGGGTATTTTGGGGGAAATTTTTTTTTTCTGAAGCATGCGGCATGCCAGCACAAAGAATTGTTAAGGAGTGGTAATGGCTCATAAGCTTAGCTACCTCCCGTGATTCACTTCATGCCACGGATCGTGAACAAAAAATCCTCCAGCGACCTGCAGGTATTTTGTGCCAGTCTGCCGGTGATCAGTTGGAGCACTAACGAAGATGAAAATTTTCTTAAGAAATATTTTGTGAACGGTTTGCTTTCAGGAAGTTGTGTAAGAAACGGTAATTAGATTGCTGTGTAACGATACTCACAACTGCTCAATTAGCTTTAAGGACGCTGGAAATACTGGTGATTTCATTATCTACTTCACAGTTCGCCTTGATATTAGTGTATTTATTATTCTGTAGATTAGCGGGTGGAAGATTGCTGATTTTGTAATCAAAAATCTCTGTATTGTTACTCTTTCCATTCTATGATTGCAATTTTCATGCGTTTTTTAATGCATTTTTATGCATTTCATTATCTGCACAGCGCCAAGCGCTGCTACAGCGAGCGAAAATGCAAATTGTCGGGAGGTCGTCTGTGTGTGTGTGTGTGTGTGTTCGGAAGCAAGTGGACTTTGTCATCCACTTTCATCTCAGCAACCAGGAAATCTAGGAGGCTGAAATTTTGGGTATATACTTCTACCCTGTATGTCATCCTCCCATTTTAAAATTTTCACTCATACGCGCCTAGAACTTGCGTACAGGCTCCCGAAAAAGAACATGCAAATTTCTTTGGTGAGAAACAATTTCGCGAACCAGGCAAGATACACAGCTGAAACTTTACAGGAATATTCTCTTTGCATGTGCGAACTAAGGATTTCAAATTCAGCTTTTGTCAGTATATTTATCGCCCACATGGGAAATCGTATGCCTAAAATGAGTACCGATTTGCACTTGTGCTACGACTCAGGACACTCCAAAAATATTTGTAGCGAAGTGTATTTTTC